TACCTTGCCCCCTCCCTTCCACCCAGCTCACCCTCCCCACAGCCACCTCCCACACTGCCCACCCTCAGCCTGCTCCTGCATTCTCCCTCCCACACTGCCCACCCCCAGCCTGCACCCTCCCTCCCACACTGCCCACCCCCAGCCCGCTCCTGCACCAACTTTGTCATCATTGGTGTTTGCAGTGTTTTTTTTTTAATTAAAAAAAAGGGGTGCTGGTACTCCAGAGGAAAAGTTGTTGAGCTCTGACTGGAGGGGCCGGTACCATCACAAAAAAAGCACTGGGTGTCTGGCTGGCGGTCCGCGGAAAGGTCTGCATTGAGCAGGGTGGGCCGCGGGTCGGAAAGTTTGAGAACCACTGGCAGAAGTGAAAGGATACGGGGGCACCCTGGTGCGGAGCTCCAGCAGAGCTGGCTGAGCTGCGGCAGAAGCCAGCGGGGCGGTATCGAAAAACCCGGCCAGGCCCCCGAGTTGCAATAGGTCAGCTCCTGTGAGAATTGTTACGTTCCTTTCACCGCTGGCCACTGGTCTAAATGAAGCAGTCAGCTCAAATCCGTGGGCCTGCCCGGAGGCTAATTTTGCGGCCTCTTCTAATGCAGAACGTGGAGTCACCCACTGCTGTTTAAAGGCGATGCATTTAGAGAATCCCCGGGCATTCAGAAACCAAGAGATTCCTCCCTCGGCCCTTCTGCCAAATCCGAAGCTTGCTTTAAAACTCGTGAGGTTCAAAGGAAATTATAAATGTTGGGGCAGGAGGTGGGGTATTACCTTCCCGTAGGTGAGCTTGTAGAGTTAATTCGCATCACGCTTTCGCCGCAGCCAGTTGTCGGGCGGGGCGAGGGTCAGCGCAGGCGGGCGAGCGGTGATAAAGCGCCCTGTGTTCTCATACAGGCAAACCCATGAAGCTGAGCATGGCCACGGAGGAAATCGCAACCTTCTACGCCAAAATGCTCGATCACGAGTACACGACCAAGGAGATTTTCCAGACCAACTTCTTCCACGACTGGAGAAAGGTAGCTGCCCGGCGCGCCTCGCCTCGGCGCCTTGTCCAGGGAACACTGCACCTGTGGGGGGCTGGGCTGGGCCTCCGGTGCCTGGCCTGGGGGGTCTGGTAGGGACAGGGATGGGCAGGCGAGGGGTTGCAGAAGGAGCAGTGGAGATGTTCGTTTTGGGGTGTTAATTTCTCAATTCATTTTTGTGTAGTATTTCATAGAAGGTGGTGGTCGGGGACGGGAGGGCAGCCGTGTGTGCGTGCACGGTGGTGGGCGTATGTCCTGGGTTCAGCTTTGCTACGGACTGAGTTAAACCTCATCGGATGGCCCCTTCAGTGGAGACACAGTTAAGGGGCTGTGCCTAAAACGAGGCTTCATAATCTGCCTAGACGCTGATGTAACCCACATGCCTTACTGGGTGTGGTTCATTGTCCCATGGAGTGGTCCTTAGACCACTTACAGCAGGGGTGGGGACCCTGAGGCCCGTGGGCCAAATGCAGCCCGCGGTTTGTCCGCATCCGGCCCCCAAGGCTCAGAACTCCCCGCTAGTATTGGGGAGCCCGCGCTGCCACTCTACCTCCCCCACCACTGGCCTGGAACCCACGAAATCGAGTACCCTGCGCCCCCGTAGGCTCTGATGTGCGGAGTTCTCAGCCAGGGGGGCCACGTCAGTGAGGGGTTGTTTGCTTCTTACTTGTGTGCGGCCCCCGGCTGATTTTTCTGTGGGTCAGCGCCCCCGACCCAAAAAAGGTTCCCCAGCCCTGACTTCTGGAGAGAGAGAAGGAGTTTGCTCTACAGCCTTAGCGGGGTGCCGGCTGGCTTTTAGCTCAAGCGGCAGAGGCTCCTGCCCTAAGGGCCAGAGGTCCCAGGTTCGGTTCTGCCTGTCACTAGCACCCGTGATACACTAGCACCCTTGGGGGCCTGTTATGCTAATAAGAAGCACACGGGACTTTTTTTCAAGGGTGTGTGTTTATTGAGAAGACCGTAGAAAAGCAGTTAGCATGTGCCCCCCGCTCCCCCACACACACACACACACACACACACACACACACACACACACACACACACACACACACCGTGTCGTAGCACAACAAGAAGCCCTGTTGCACTACACTAACAGATTTATTAGAACACAAGAGCCGCTTTGAAAGCTTTTGCTCCACTACATCTGTTACTCTAAAGGTGCCACAGGACTTCTCGTTGCTTATGCGGATGCAGACTTCCACAGCCACCCCTCTGATAGTTGCCAGGGAAGGCTGTCTGAGGGAGGAGTCGGGTTCCTCTGAGGTTTGACTTGCAGGACCGACCCCAGAGTCTTGCCGGGATTGCCGTGCCAGGCCGCAATCGTTCATCCTTCGCCGGCGTTGATCTCCGGTTGTTTCACAGTTATTCTTTGAGATCTCTGGTCAGGCTTCCTGATCTTTTGTTTGTGTGTCTGTAACCCACACCCGTCGTGTGGGTCGCTGGCCCATGAAAGCTCATCAACCATCTTGTTAGTCTTTAAAGTGCTGCATAGTCCTGTCTTTTGTTTCAGCAAGACCAGACTAACACGGCTGCATCGCTATTACTATGTCCCATGCAGTGGCACTTAGACCATTTACAGCGAGAGATAAGAGCAAGGGAGCTCCACAGCCTGAGCTGGGAGCCAGGCGGCTTTATAGCCCAAGCAGTAGAGGCTCCTACGCTGAGGTCCCAGGTTCAAATCCGCCCGGGGGCAGTTACATTTCACCTTCAGAGTGTGTGTCTGTCTGTGGGGCTGGGCCATGCTGCTCGTTTCTTCAGCCTTCATCCATCCTCAGACACCACAGATGTTCTCGCCAGTCTCTTTGACCTTCCTGGTGGCTTTCTCGCACATCCTCAACCATCCAGACACCAGCTCAAATGTTCAAAAGCAGCCAGCGGGTCGTACAAATACGCTTTTCAGGGGCTGCTCCACCCTGGCCTTTGCTTGCGGCGTGGCTAGCTCAGCAGTGAAACTGCTGCTCCGCAGACTTTCCAGAAAGCTCCGGGTTTCTCGCCCCCTTCCCGTGCAGCTTTTCCCCACATTGTAAATGAACTTTGCCTGCCTGTTTCCAAGTCTCTTCTGGCTTTGGCTCAGGAAATGACCTCGGAGGAGCGGAAGAAGATCAAGCACCTGGAGAAGTGCGACTTCAAGGAGATTCACAAGTACTTCGTGGACAGAAACGAGGCCCGGAAGGCGCTGCCCAAAGAAGAGAAGCAGGTGAGGACGGGGTTTGTCGGGAGTCCTGCAGACGGTGGGCAGGTGTTTAGTGTGTCGTGGGGGGGGCTTAACTTCCCTTTGGCCGTGCTGGCTTCACTCCCAGACTGGAAAATGAATTCTTTGGGTTCAATCACCTGCATGGTGATTAGTCTGTAACCATGTGGCACCCTTGCTGGTTGGGTTTGTGTCTGTGGCGTTCCTGGCCAGCCCTCCGAGAGAGAGAATTTGTGGCGGATGCCGCTGGGCAGACTTCGGCCCCGATCCTGCGGCCGGGTCCCTGTCCCGTTGACTTCCCTAGCACGCCGCACAAACAAACACTGAGTTCTGCAAGCGGGGAGCATCTGGCAGGGGCAGGGTGGTTTAAATTCTGCGAGGACACGTTAAGCCAGGAGTCGCTTCCTATCGCTGTACGCACCCGGGGCTACTGCGTGTGTGTGATGGTGTCTGTCTCCTGGTGCCTCTCCCTCGCACTGATCAAATCCGTGTTAATTACGGGCAATCAGTAAAATTGCTCCTTTAGCTCCAGTGGGTTTGATCCATGATGGTGCAGTGGTGCCCTGGACCACAGGGGCTGTTGTTTCATTTTCCCGGTGGGTACAACACCCCGGTTCTGTCCCGAAACCCCCGATCTCCCTGCCCCAAGGTCCTGCCTTTGCTCTGGCTCTTGGCCCCCTCCCTTGAAATCCTCCATCTGCCCTCCCCCGAGCACCTCCTGCCAGCTGCCAAACAGCTGATTGGCCACCCCACTGATCAGATGTGGCTGGTGGGGGCTGAGTGTCCCCTATCTTTTTTTCCATGGCGCCCCAGAGTCAGCACCCACGTGCTGCTTGTATGCACCCCTGGATCCTTTAATCATGTGCTGATGAATGCTGGGTCTGCCTCTTCGGGTCCCCCTGCGTCTGTCAACGGGGAGGGCCGGTAGGTGCAGTGCCCGGGGTGCCCCCAGACTGGTGTTTTCTCCGGAGTTTGTTTCCTCCCTCAGAAACTGAAGGAGGAGGCCGACAAGATCCAGGAGGAGTTCGGCTACTGCAACCTGGACGGGCATCGGGAGAAAATAGGCAACTTCAAAACGGAGCCCCCGGGGCTGTTCCGCGGGCGCGGGGACCACCCGAAAATGGGCATGCTGAAGAAGCGGATCATGCCAGAGGACGTCATCATCAACTGCAGCAAGTGAGATGGCATGGACGGCGGGCAGTATCGGCCGGGGAAGCCGTTGCCTTCCCAAAGCTGCCTACGCGCCGCGGCCGCCGGGGCAGCCTGGGGCCCGAGCGTGGGCGCCCCGCGTC